AGAAAAGAAAAGAAAAGAAAAGAAAAGAAAAGAAAAGAAAAGAAAAGCCTGTCAGCATTTTCAGACATGCTGTGGAGTCAATTTAAGAAGCTGCTGAACAAAACATCAATGAATTAAGGTTTCATTAATGCCCAGGTATATAACTGTAAGGGAGATTTTCTTTTATTGAAAAGAAAAACCCTTGGCATTAGGGCTGCAAGCATGAATTAATTGGCATCATTTGTGAACTGCTGCTTTAATTGCAGACTTTTGTTCAAAGAGCGTGCCAGAAAAACAATATAAGTTACCAGCCTTGAGAAATTGACTCCCCTTGTTTCTGCAGTAAAATGGGAGTTATCAAACAACCTCATCATCACAACAAATATGAAAAATCTAAATCCTACAGATGCATTATTTGTCTTATTTCCATGAACTGGATAATTTGGTAGTTATGGCCTGATATTGCTAAGATGATACAATCCAGTATTTCCTTCCATTCTTAGAAATACGGGCATGCGAACTGTGATCCGTAAGTGCAACTGGGGTGACTTTTTGCTTATGAAGAAAGTCAAGTGTTGAGCTATACTGCACTTTTTAAAAGTATTTTGCTTTTTTTAAACTGTTTGACCTTCAACGATTTGTCCTAGTTGATAACTCCTATAGGAAAGGTGGCTGAAATTCACAATCCATGTAAATGGAATGTGTTACAATATTAAGAAACTATTTTAAAGAATAATAAGTGACAACCTAGGATATAATAATGCTGTAATTAAATAGACTCGTTATAATAAGGGAAGCCCTGTTCAAAGAAAGATGCATTGCCCAAGATGAAGGTGCCATCAAATGGTGCTAAAATGAGTAGCGAAGCAAAGACCACAGCAAATTGGTAGGATCCAAAGCCCTGCAAAGGTCTTGGGAGGACCGGAGAGAGAACCCCAGTGTGGTGCAGCGGTGAAGAGCGTGGGACTGGGACTCAGGCGATCTGGGTTCGAGTCCCCACTCAGCCATGGAGCCCACTGGGTGACTCTGGGCCAGTCACAGGCTCTCAGCCCAACCTACCTCACAGGGTGGTTGTTGTGGGGATAAGATGGAGGAGGAGATGTAAGCGGCCTTGAGCCCTTTGTAGGAAAAAGGCAGGATATAAATTGAAAAATAAATAAATAAATAAACCCCACTGTACACAAGAGTATGTCCTCCAGGTTTCTGCGAGAAAACTGCCCAACCGATTCTGCCCCGTGTTAATTAGTGGAAGGAAGAGTCCCTGATTGGAGGGACAGCACCTGTAGTCCTGCCCTTCTTTCTCTTGACCACCAACTATTGGGTGGTTTCCTGGCTTCTCTGAGGTTTCTTCTCCTATTCCAGAAGGCTAAAATGCCTCTCTCAAGGCATAGCCACTGGCTGGTATTCCTGCTATTTTGACCCTGGCCCACCGGGCTTGGCTCTGCTCACCATTCTCAGGCTGGCCGGGAAGGCTGGGCTTTGTTCACCTTTCTGTCAGTTTTGTGGACGACAGCTCCAAAACTATGCAGCCATTGGTCGTATTACTTTGGGCTTTCTGGAGTTGTAGTTCAAAACATCTGGAAGGTACCAAGCTGGAGGAGATTGGCTTATGTCGATCAGCAGCTGTTCTCCAGGGCGTTGGTCCCGTCTGGAGCTTCTGAGGCTTGAACCCACAAGTGTTTGCATGCACCCATGCGCTCTCCCACAGAGCACAAGGACACAGGAAACTGGGACATACAGGAGTCTTTCTTGGTGCTCTCCGGCAGGGACCTCTCAGAATTTCAGAGAGTCTTTCTCAACTCCACCCTGAGGAACTGGGGACTGAACTCGGGGCCTTCTTGGTACAATGAGCTGCGGCTTATCACAGGCTCCATTCCAGTTTGGGAACAAGTAGAAGGGAACCTTGCAGCCATCCTGGAAGCCAGGCCCGTCATGTTCGAAGCAGAACTGTGTACATGACATGGGGTCATCACTCAATTTGGCAGGCCTATTGTTCTTCAGGGTTGACTTCGTTCTCCTCCTGGGATATCACTTACAAAGCCATAATTACACTGCCGGCTGAGAGAACAGATCACCGGTAAAGGGTTTCAGCAGCCTGACTGAACTGGCAGGAAGAAGAATCGGCAGCCAGTTTCCTCCCAAATTAACACCTTCTAAGCCATTCAACAGCTTGGCTTGTGTTCCCGTGAGCCATCGGAGAGATTTGTGCCATTGCGTTTTAATGACTCAAGCACAGGTTTAGGGCACCAAAGCAGCAACTGCAGGGCTTCAAGGAAGAGGGGTGCAGAACCCCAGGTCTAGGGGCCAAATCTCTGAGATTCGCTAGATCAGGAATCTGAGATTCTCTGAGATTCTCTCTTGCCTGGGTCCTGCCTTTCTTTCCCTTGACCACCAATTATTGGGTGGTTTCCTGGCTTTTCTGAAGTTTCTTCTATTCCAGAAGGCTAAAATGCCTCTCTTAAGGCGTAGCCACTGGCTGGTATTTCTGCTATTTTGACCCTGGCCCACTGGGCTTGGCTCTGCTCACCCTTCTCAGGCTGGCCGGAAAGAGTGGGAGGGCATTGCAGTCCAACACACTGGTGGAGACCAAGATGGGAAATTTAGCCCAGTATCTCAAAAAGGAATCTAGAGTGAGATTTAGCCATGAGACTGATCTCTTTCACTCACCATTTTTTTATACCACTTTTCAGCTTTCAGAAGTTTCAAAGCAATCTATGAAATAAAGTCTCTCTCTCTCTCTCTCTCTCTCTCTCTCTCTCTCTCTCTCTCTCTTTCTCTCTCTCTCTCTCTCTCTCACACACACACACACACACGCCTATAGACGCAAGCAGAACATTGAAACCCCTTAATACATTTTAAAATGGTGATCAGTCGGTTATTGACAACATTAACAAAATGATTAACATGCCAGTGGCCCTTGTGATTCCTACTCCCTTGGCTTGGAAAGCGGGGGCTAAGTCCAGTGGCAACAACAGCCAGGGTCCTGGGTTCAAATCCCAGTTTGTTTCACCTTCAGCAGCCACTATTGAGCTATCATCAACCCATTAGGCGGCCAGCGGGCAGTATCATGGAGAAGGCAGTGAGCTCCAATGCGGCACGGAGAAGAGCTTTCAGTACTTACAGCATTCAGACCTGTTGCATCAAAGGTATAAATGATACGCAGGGACTTACCTGTCCACCTGGACCTCTACATCTCTCATTTCGATTTTGGGTGGCACGTCTCCATTGAGTTCCTTGCTGTTGCTTTTCAGAAGATCCAGGACGGGTTCGATCTCTTTGAGCAGTTCACTGTTTTCGAAGCCACCATTAAGGCAATGATCAGAAACCTCCTTGGTACCTTTCAGAGAGTCTCCGGCTATGGTGCTGGCAACCATGCCGTTGATGTGCACCAGAGCCTCATCCCCTTGCCCGTTCACCCGGGCACACCGGGAGCTGACGGAGCCGCCCATGCCGCGGTCTGGGCTCTGCCGTTTGGGCTTGGTGTACAGGGTGGAGTCAGTGGGCAGTTCAACCGTGGCTGGAGCCACACACAGGGGCCTGGTGACCCGGACAGTCTTTGGAGTCCCGTCACCAGTGAAGGTTGTCTCCAGGTGAGTGGTGAAGCCCTCGGGGCCTCTCAGGATGAGGACGACGAAGGTCTCTGAGGCAATGTTCCTGAGCACCTCCAGGGCAGCGTCATAGTTCATATCCACCAGGGGCCTTCCATTGACTGCCAGGATGATATCTCCTGTCTGAATAAGGCCACTTTGTTCGGCTGCCCCTCCACGGATCAAGTCGGAGATGATCACCGGGGGCTTGTTGATGCGCTCCTTCACCAGGAACCCAAGGCCTCCGACCTTGCGCTTGAAGAGCTTCACCGAGATGACGTTGGGCTGGATTTGCTGGACACTGAACACATTCTCTTCCATTGTAGTCCCTAAATCTACCAGCCCAGTCACCAAGAGCTAGTGGCTCATGGACACTCTCCCGGTGGGTCTGCGGGTGAGGTAGCAGCTCTGGAGAATGTGGAAGAGAGAGGAAAGGAGAGAAGGAGAGAGAAGACAGCTTTATATCCATCTGCAAGCACTGTGGTTCAGGAGGGCAACTTTAGACCCTGGAGCCCGGGGGCCCTGAACTTTTCATCTGGAACTACTGCCCAGAGCCCCAAGTGCCCATTCAAGCCAATGGAAGAGTACTTTTTTAGCTTAATTGCTATGCAGGAGGTGATTCTTAAGATGGGGTACAGCTGGGGAGTCAACAGTTAACCCTCTCGTCCTCTCATGCTGGAATTCCTGCAAACCCCCACCCCAACACAGTCATTGCAATTAAGCTGAGGAAGAAATCTTCCATTGGCGTTAATGGAAGCCTTTACTTTCATGCTTGGAAAGAAAACTTGCATTGGTGTTAATGGAAGCTTTTTCTTTCATGCTTCATTGCCAAAGATGGGGCAATTTCCCCCCATGTGGGAAAGTGAGAAAAGTGGGGGAAGTACAGTGAAAAGAGTGAAAATTGAGTGTCACTGAGCAGGCGCTGCCGATTTGGGATGGTTTGGAGTGGGCTGCAAATGAACGGAGGAAATTACTCTGTCTGAAGTATTTCAGGGTGGAACAAATTGGTTGGCTTTGCCTTCTATGACATACTAATAAAACCTGGTAATTTTTTCAATATTCGCATATGAATATAACATTTATGGAGAATTTAGTGCCTAACAGTGACCTCTCTCTCCACACTTCGGTGTTTCTGCGTGTCATGTGAACCGTGTCATGAACTCGGGGAAAAGGGAACCTTTTTTACTCTAGGAAAGGATATAAGAATTTAAAACTACTACTACTACTACTTATTAATAATAATAATAATAATAATAATATAGTAATAATAATTTAAACTGTCATCTAGGTGTGTGCCTAGCCACCCCCCATCTCTAACATAATTTAAAAGAATATGGAAGGAAGGAAAGAAGGGAGGAGGAGGAGGAAGGAGGAAGCTGCAGGGACCGCCATTAGTCCGTGGCCTGCCTCATCTACTGCTCTCATGGTGGTCATGGGTGGGAGGGGTGGCTGGGGGCCCCAGGACTTTGGCCCCAAGGTCCAATCCTAGCTGCATCATAGCTGGGGGGCAGGGAGATCATTTTCTGAGATGCTTCACACCTTCAGCAAGTGTTCTGCTTCCTCAGGTCACACCTTTGCTGCTCCGTATCCGTTCCAATCCTCTCTCTTATTCTGTCCTGGGCTCTGGAACACAACAAAGCGATGCGGAACACCGGGTAGAAAAGTCCAAGGACAGGACCTGACATCTCCTCGCCGAAAGGAATGGCTGGAAAGGAATGGCCGGAAAGCTTGCTGGACCAGCTCCGGGTGTCTGGAGGGACTTCACTTCACATCTTCTTTACCTACAAGGTGGGGAGTTCAGGTTGGGGAAGACAGGAGAGGAACCCTATTAGCCTGGAGAATGGAAAGGACTGCCCTGGGCAGAGGTCTGCAAAGGCTCCAGGCACCCAGGGAGCCAGGCTAGGAGCAACAGTGTGGGACTGCAGGGAGGGCGAAGCGGGTTCAAATCCCTCCCCAGCCATGAAGCATCCTGCCGTCGGCCACAGTGAAACGTGCCACCCGGGCTTGCTGTGAAGATTAAGCGAGGTGAAAGTGCAATTAAAATGGCAACAATAAAATAACCCCTGAATAATTCTGCTAGAGTGTGGCATGATGGTTAGAGTGTAGGACTGGGTGGGACTCAGGAGAAGCAGGTGCCGTTTTCACCCAGATGAACATGGGCGTGCACGGGACCTGATTGCAAAGCACAGCCCTAGTTGCAGAAAGGGGCCTGTGGACGGGCGTGGAGGGTATTTGACTTTGGAAAAAACATCTCGGCCAGCGCCAAAGAAGTTCAGCAGGATGTGACGCGTGGGCAGGACAAAGGCCGGCTTCTCCAGGGAGACCTGATGTGATGGAGAGTCTCAAGGACCTTACCTTTCAACATTGGTCCAGAGGAAGCCAGGTGGTGGGACAGAGGGTCTCCTCCCCACACCCCCCACCCCCAACCAGAGACTTCATTTGGAGCTCCAAATGAAAGATTTGAGCCTCTTGCCCTGCTGGGGAGGATACTGCGATTCTCCCTTCTCATCCACCCAATCCAGGTTTTTAATCTTCTCATTCCCAGAACCTCCACAGAGAACCGTTGCTGAATTTCCTTTTGCTGCCTGCCCTTACCCTCCAAATAAAACCATTCTGTCACATGCAGCATGTCTCATTATCAAGTCACTGAGTCAAGGCACTGAGCCTATTTTACAGAGGGAATGACTGAGGCTGCAATCCCAAGCCCCTCCCGTCACTGGGTGGCGAGCAGACGACTGTGGAGCTGAGCTCCTCTGCTCCTCACTGGACCTCCTCGCCTTGCCACTTTCCATCTCCGAGCCACAAAGAGCGCTTTTCACTCTGCTCATCAAAACGCGACGACAACTCCAGCTCCACAGATCGGTTCAGCTCGACCCCTTCACCTGCTCACCGCTGCTTCCCCCCCACCACTTAGTTCTAATGA